GCTCGGCCACATAGGTGGCCGCACCGCCGTACTCGCCGCCCAGGGCCAGGCCCTGCAGCATGCGCAGGCCGATGAGGATCACCGGCGCCGCCACGCCGATGCTGGCGTAGGTGGGCAGGATGCCGACGATGAAGGTCGACAGGCCCATGATCAGGATGGTCACGAGGAAGGTGTACTTGCGCCCGATCATGTCGCCCAGCCGCCCGAACACCAGTGCGCCGAAGGGCCGCACGATGAAGCCGGCCGCGAAGGCCAGCAGCGCGAAGATGAAGGCCGATCCCGCATCGAGCCCGCTGAAGAATTGCTTGGCGATGATGGCCGCCAGCGATCCGTAGAGATAGAAGTCGTACCACTCGAATACCGTGCCTAGCGACGAGGCAAAGATCACCTTGCGTTCTTCCGGAGTCATGGGCCGCGGGGTCGCCTTGACCCCCGCGCCTTGCGATGCGTTGATAGCCATGTCTGTCTCCTTGATTTATTGAATATTTAGCGGGCTTGCCATAGGCCCGCCGATTCACTATCCGCCTGCCTGCTGACGCGAATCTGACTCACCTCTTACAGAAATTGACGGCGAACTGAACGATTTCTTACTAACTCAGCAGCAACCCTGATGCCCTCTTTTTCCATGTGAAAAGCACCGTAAAAACCCTGGCAAACCATGCTGCACTGCGTAAGCACTCGGTCAGAAGCGCTTTCCAGAATGCGCCGCAAGGCTGCAGATCCATGGGGCTGCCGCCGCGATTCCAACTTCAGGAGACAAACCATGACCGATCCGGTGGTAGACAAGATACAGCGCCATCCCAAATACCAGGAGCTGCGATCCAGACGCAATCGCCTGGGCCTTTTTCTGACGCTGCTGATGCTGGTCGTTTATTACGGCTATATCGCGCTGATTGCCTTCGACAAATCCTTTCTGGCCCAGCCCATTGGCGCGGGCGTGACCTCGCTGGGCATTCCTATCGCCATGGGCGTGATCGTGTTCTCGGTGATCGTCACCGGCCTCTACGTGCGCCGTGCCAATGGCGAGTACGACAAGCTCACCCAGGACATCCTGAAGGACGCCACGAAATGAAGAATTCCGCACAACGCATGCTGCTGGCGCCCGCCGTGGCGCTGGCCCTGACGGGGCCCGTGCTGGCCGCCGGCGGAGATGTCGGCGTGGCCGCCAAGCAGGCCACCAACTGGACCGCCATCATTCTCTTCACGGCCTTCGTCGTGGCCACGCTGTGGATCACCAAATGGGCCGCGGGCCGCACCAAGTCGGCGGCCGATTTCTACACGGCCGGAGGCGGCATCACGGGCTTCCAGAACGGCCTGGCGATTGCGGGCGACTACATGTCGGCCGCCTCCTTCCTGGGCATCTCGGCCTCGGTCATGGCCAGCGGCTATGACGGCCTCATCTACTCCATCGGCTTCCTGGTGGGCTGGCCCATCCTGACCTTCCTGCTGGCCGAGCGCCTGCGCAACCTGGGCAAGTTCACCTTCGCCGACGTGGCCGGCTACCGCTTCTCCCAGACGCCGTTCCGCGCCTTCGCGGCCAGCGGCACGCTGGTGGTGGTGGCCTTCTACCTGATCGCGCAGATG